GACAAATACAGATGTGCAATAAAGATTTACTGAATAAATGGGTACATGTAAACATTATCTCAAAAACATTCTTTAGAAATAGATATGCATTTCTGATAATCCACAGTGAGAATATTTAAAAAGAGTATTTAGCCTTTCCAATTGCAAAAAGTTAAGATAAATGAGTGGTTTTCAAGAGGGATATTTATATTTGTTGTTCTCTTTCTTTGATTGCATCATGTTTTAAAATTAAGTATGACTATGCACAAGTTCAAAATGGGATCCTGGGATTTTGATCATTAATCAATGGAAAATTTCCAGCATTCCAAGGTGCTGATTTCCAGCTACTATGTGAAAGATCTCATGAATAGACCTTTCATTTCGATTTCCTCAGAATAGCAAACTTCCAGCTGTCTCTTCACGTAGAGCCATGATTTAACTCTGGAATTTGCTTTGACTCATTGACTATAAAAGCAACGCAAAGTAACATGTGGGAGTAATTGAAAAACTGAAGGTGAAAACTACTTCAAGAAAGGATAAACCCCCAAGTGAGTAAACAGATCAAACATATCAAGTCCTTTTGATATGACAAAATGAGTTTTTCTAAAGGAGCGTACCTCAGAATTACTTTAAATGATGATTCACTGATATTATTTTTACTAATGAAATGTCTCCACTGTGAATTACAATAACATGCCAGTTTTACAGGAGGATTTCTGGGGGCATGAACGCAGATACAGTGGGTGAAGAAGCAAGTCTGGAAGTAGAAGATGGTGTTGGAGATGAGGGTTCATAGACTATCTAAAGACTATCTAAAGACTAGCCCGTCCCCTGGGCTTCATTAAGAGAACACACCAGGGCCTCCCCTGGTGGCGCAGCAGTTGAGCGTTGGGTAGCCTCTGCAGCACCAGTTCAATCCTTGGCTGCCAGGGAGGGTCCCACATGGCGGAACAGACCTCTCCTGCTGTGCCCGCTGCTCCCCTCAGCAGTGTATTTTGCAGTCTGCCTATTCTGTTCCCTGCTCTGGCTCTGATGAATTCTCTCACCCTCCCGCACTTCTGACTATACCCAGTGCTTGTACAAATAAATAAATAAATCTTTAGGGGGAAAAAAGAGAACACACCAGTCAGAAGAGAACAAATGATGCTGATGGTCTTCGCTGAAGCTACTCTGTGACTAAATGTCTGATTTATTTATAAGTTTCCAAATGAAGTCCTCTTTTTTTGTTAAAGAAATGCTGTAGTTAATTTTAAAATATCCTGTTACTCCATTTCATTTAACTTTGTTGACCTTAGGCATTTAAGAAAATAGTTTGCCTTCTGCCTTGAGAAAATTCACATTCCCAAGGCAATTACATTCTAAAAAGATGCTATGGGAAAATGCACAGCCTCATAGTAGATATTTTCTTCCTATGATAAAACCATTGTTTATCAGCATGTTGAAAGAGAGCACACTGGGGAAATACTTTTTTTCTTAATTTTGTCACTACAAATACTATAGCAAAAAAGCCATCACTCGCTTTTAAATACAATATTTTCAATACATGGATGATTGTTTATTTTGCTGACATGATTCTCTTGACATTTATACACATACATTTTAATAAAGTAAACTTGCATAGAGAAGATTAAAATAAATAATGAGCATCTGAATTCTTTCCTATGAGAAGGGTGGACAATGAATTCTTCAGAGAAATAGCTTGTAAAAATATGCTATCCAATACAGTAACTGTTTACATTTAAACTAATTAAATTTAAATCAAATTAACAATTAAGTTGCTCCATCTTGCTAGTTGATATTCAAAGCCTTAATAGTTGCAAATAGCTAGCTAGTGGTTACCACACTGGAGAGCACAAAAATGGAGCACTTTTCTTAGCTCAAAAAACATCACTCTGAAATGTCTGATTTTAAACAAAAAACAAGATATGTGAATAACAATCACTCAAATAAATAAATATCTACATATACTTCAATGTTTTAGGAGCATTAATAACTACAAGGATCCTATCAATTAAAGAGAAGTAGAAAATTAAAAAGAATAGAACCCTGAGTTTGTTTTGTAAAATCTGTCAGAGAAGATGAATGGCCATTATATAAGGATAAAGAATGAATTTAGATTTAATGGAGCAGAATGAAAGGAGAAATACAGCAGGTAATTTTGAAGGTTTATTACAAAAGCCTTGAAAGAGTGACTTTGAATGTATGTTTTATCTGTTAGCATTTTATATGTTGATGACTTAGAAGATTAAAATTAAAATTATGCTTCAGAGAATAAAAGTGAAACACAAGTGATTGTCATATAAAAAAGTCTCAAGTAATTTAAATGTGATGAACCCAGTCACCTGTGTTATTTGAAGCATCCCTTGATCCAGATTCTTCCAGCAGAAAAAGATTTATTTTTTATTCTACATACAGATAGCTCAAAGCTTAGTAGATAAAATCATGTAAATCAGTACCTAAGATACCCAATATTTACTTTCCAACTTACTATTTTAAAATATCTAAAGTGAATTGCACAAATCACATATTTATATCACTACAAGAGTGTTATTCAAAACCATATATACTGATTTTTCTCTCTCAGACCTATTATATCACCCAAAATTCGAAATTATGTATGTGTTATGTTTGACATTTGTTATGTTTGACATTTAACATAAAATGAGCCAAGTCTTCTTAGTATCACTAGAACAACTAACCATTAGAGTAGAATGCATCAACATGCACACCCAAGCACCTTGCTTTATTGGCATCAATACTTCTGTAAGGTAAGCAGGGGAAGCCAAATAAGGAGTGATCAGTGCAGTTAAATACAACCTGAGAGTGGATAACCAGGCATGGAAAGGAGACAGGGTGGGGGTGGTGGTGGTAGGGAATCCCACTGCCTTTTTCTGTTGCCTGGGACCTATAGTTGAGGGTAAAGAGTGGGAAATAATTCCATATCCATTATGATTCCAGAGTCCTGAGATGAAAAATTATCAATTTACAATGATCTTACTAAATTCTAAAAATGCAGGACATTTAAATGCATTTAATTTAAAATGCATTTTAATGACTTATTATAAGATTTTTTTAAAAATTCAACTGTTTTTGAAAGAGCTATAAATAAATATTGTTCAAATACTGTATGAAACTCTTGAGACTACTTAAGACATTTAACTAGTTATGAGGCATCACTGTCACTCATATGTCATAAACTCTGACATCTTTCAGTTATTACATTCTATTCAGACGTGTTCATCCTCTTGGAATAAATCTTATTTCTTTGTATTAGAACAGCAATATCAATATGCTCTTTGGTTGTGCAGGTTTTGTCAGGCTTATATCAAACCCATCAAAGTTAACTATGAGTAGAAAAAGGGTTATGACTATCCCACCAGAGGTAGAAATTTGGAGCACCATGGGAGAATTAAGAGGATCCCATAGTGAAAGAAGATTCTTTTACAAGTAATTATATACAGGAATTCAAGTTCTTCTGTAATGTACAAGTAAAAATAAAATTAAGTGCAATGTTCACCCCCAGTCCAGTTTTCCAATCTTGTGTTTTTAAGTTTAGCTCCTAAAATTCTCAATATCTGGATGTTTAAATCTGAGGTCACTCTTAAATGTTATGTCATATGCCAAATAATGGTGGCCCTCTATAATACCTTTATTAAGCTTATAAAACAGAGACTTTTATAAACTTTTGCATGGAAACCAAACAAAAACAGGAGATGAGAAATAAGGTAAGATGAGTGGAGTTGTTTATCTCATGTAACTGATCATCTAGCCAACTTCATATTTGTTTACTAATGCGAAGATCACCATAGGGTAGTATCATCAGAATAAAAATCACTCCCTAAAGCTTTTCTTTTTTGGCCTCTACTAATCTAATTCTTTTGCATTCATGCAAGTGCTCATAAAGTTTAATCACATGCCAGAAATATGTGGAGTAAATTCCTCAAGACTGATGCTGATCATATTAGGATATCAATTGGGCATACCGAAATGAATTGAAAATGAAAAATAGATATTGAAATCCCAATTTACATGTATTTTGAAACCCATGTCCCGTCCATCATTAGTAAGCTTCCCTTTATTCTGCCCACATCCATCTCCTACTCCAAATTATATACTTAAACCAATTGGAATCAGAATGGGCTAAATCATATGTAAATCATTCTGAGCTTCAGTCTGTACTGTCATAGAATATATCTTCTCCAACTTGAATGTGCACATGAATCATTTGAGAATTTTTTTAAAATGTGGATTCTGATTTAGTAGGACTAGTGTAGGGCCCAAGGCTCTGCAATTCTAATACACTTTCAGGTGATGGTGATGCTCTGATGTTCTAAATGTTATACTAATTACGATCTTTACCAAACATCACAAATACTATAATATGCTTTACTTGGTTAAAATGGAAAAATCTGGACTATGACTAATCAGAAATGATAAATGATGCCTGTATGTTCCAATAAATTATTGCTATTTTGCACTTCTGTCCAAGTTGAAAATTATATTAATAGTGCAATTTATAACATATGAGCTATTAACTTTTTAATGACATTTGTAAAACATTAATCAAATTTATGAGGTTTCCCCCTAAATTATGACACATTCATGTCACTTTTTGTTTCAAATTCATTTAGTACATTTAATTTCCTGAAAAAGAGATGCTGAAGGCATTTAAACTTTTTACATTTTGTAACTGACAGTTATTTATATTTTATCCTCTTATTACCTACGGACTAAGAAAGGAAAAGTCAGATGATAGTCAAATGCATTGTTCCAATAGTCTAATGCTGAAAGTGCTTGTCATACTGGTTTATAAACAATTAACATCTGTTAAAATAGCTCCATCAAATTTAATAGAGTTAGAAGCATTTAAATGTACCTCTATTCCTGAATTGTGTTTCTTGAGCTATATTCTGCCATCTTTTTCTATACTAATTGTTAAACAAAACTTTCATATATTTCATTAAGCACTCATGTTGCACAATTTATGATCCCAAGAAACCACATGAAAATATTATGCTAACCTTCAAAAATGTGGCTGTGACCACTTTCAGGTGACATCTTGTCAAAAGATGCTTCATTGCTTTTCTTGTCTGAATCTTTCGCAGAATCATCAAACAGGCTTTCAGGCTGACTCTTAAATGTTGGTGAATACAAACTTCTCTCAATTTCTACTTCCTGTTAGAAGACATGAAAGGGATGCGTGTTAAAAGTTATCAGTTGGAAACAGATGTGGTTTTCAGGGGGTTTGGGAGGCAACAGTGAGAGAGAGGGGGTTTCTATAAATAATGTTTTCCAATATTCTTCTGGTAAATTTGATAACTTAGCTAAGAACTATAAATACATATTTGATGTTTAGTTTACTTTATTACCAAGAGTTACACTTCTGAATTAGCTTTTCTTTCATGTGCTTTTTTTCTCTCTAATAAAAAAGAGAAAGTGGAAATAAGGGTCACAGTATAAGGTAATATATGTTAATAGATATAACTTCCTAAGGCCTGAGAAATGTCCATGAGGGATTTCAAAAAACAGTTATATAGCAACATTAGATGCTTAAGACAGAAGGAAATGAGTTTTTTAAAATGTCACATTTACCCTATGATGATAATCTTTGTAATTATAGAGCTCTCAAATTACAGACCCATTTAGACACCACTGCAAGTATAGTTCGGCAATTCATAAAGATTGTACAATTAATTCTTTGAGATAGTAACTCAAAACTGGAGACATAAAAAGTTCCCAGAGAAAAAAGAATAAAGGACATTTCACATGTAGGGAGTCTAGCTTTCCTTTCTAACAGATTGAGTTATATTATCTAATAAAAGAAGTAATCAGGCTAATTGTTTTGGATAAAAATTGTAAAATGTAAGGAAATAAGCCAAGACAGCTTGAGAAACAAAAGTGTATATAAGTAACCTCTTAACCACTTAACCTGCTTGTTTTCTAATTTGTATATACATGAATATGTTTAATGTATATTTATGTATAATAAATCATTAGAAACTGTTGTTTTGTGTTTAATCATATTTTCCTTTAAATAGCCTCACATACCAAAGGTATGTTTTCTGCTATCTTTATTTTTTTATTTTTTTCAAATTTTTTTAAAGATTTATTTATTTATTTATACAAGCACTGGGTACAGTCAGAAGCACGGGAGGGTGAGAGAATTCACCAGAGCCAGAGCAGGGAGCAGAGCAGGCAGACTGACAAAACACACTGCTGAGAGGAGCAGCAGGTGGCAGGAGAGGTCTGTGCACCATGTGGGACCCTCCTCTGGTGGCTGGGGAGCAGCCGGGGATTGAACTGGCACTGCAGAAGCTGCGGGCAGCTTTGCAATCCAGCGCTCAACAGCTACGCCACCAGGGAGGCCCCTGCTACCTTTATTATTGTACTCTTTAACTGAAATTAAAAACACAGGAGAAAAATAGAGGAAAAGAAGTTTACATTGTTTCAGGACTTTCCGTAACATTTGTGTTCCCAACTATTATAAAAAATCCATAAATTCACACCAAAATGCCATCGTTTATAACAGCAGTGATGTTTTATGCTGTTGAGACACAATGCTACTCATCCATGGCATGAGGGTGGCAGTTGCTTAACTAGTGAAAAAGCATAGCATCATCACCTCAGGTCTTTTGGTGCCTCCTTCTACTAACACGGAAAATAACCGCTATGAAATGGATACAGAATGTTGGTCTTTTGTTTTATCAATGTAACCCAACTTCCAGGGAAAATAAAGTAAGAAGATGCCTGAAAAATCAGTGAGTCCTGTTCAGAAAATTTTTGTTTGGAGAAAGGGTGGAATACTAAATAAGGTCCATGGGCTTGATTGATGATGTGAAAGGATCATCTCTGTTTCATATTAAAACATGGAAATGTGACAGGTGAGATTCTTTGAGCAAATAAATATTCATCCAGTGATGACACTAACTTATACTATATTGGTATTCTCAAATTTAAACTCAAAAAGATAGCAAGAATGCATCATATGCTGAATGGAAGGGACCCCACAGAAAGTTCACATGTGAATGTAGTAGACATGTTCCCACATCTTGATCATCAGATGTAAGTCATTGTCAGGTAAGTTTCTCAGCACCCTGGACAGTGGTAAGTAGGGACCTAGGTAAAGACTTAAAAGAACTTGAGCATGTGGAACTGAACTGTTCTCATCAAATTAGTGATCCACTCTAATCTCTTTGAGCTTATTTTACGTACTGTGCTTTCCCAAAAGATTTACTTTGAGTGAAAATCTAGACTTAAACATATGTGCAAAACACCAGTTGAAAGGGAAAACATGCGGTACTAGAACTTGGATTGGAGTTCTCCCTTGCTACTTATTAGGTGTGTGGTCTTGCTCAAGTCACTTGACATGTCTACGACTAAGAGTTTTTATTTGTTGTTATACAAGGAGATTTAGTCACTGAACATCTAGCATTCAACAACCAACAATTCAAAGTGCAATTTTATTTGAAATAAATTACAATAAAGAAACATTATTCATCCTTTGTAGTTTCCAGTTCAGTGAGGGAGACTAAGACTAAGTCAGTTATGTGACTAATAAAGCACATAAATCAATGTAGCTCTGCAACTATATACAGATTCAGAAAGGAGAGATATATAAACTCGGTGTGTTTAAAATGAAATTAACCTAGTGAGGAAGGTCAGCAAAGTTCCCCAGGAGAAGATCTTCAGTAAATATTTGAAGGATAAGTGGGACTTAACTATGTGAAGAACTTTTCATGTGGTAAGAATCTGGGCAGGAAGGAAGCATGGTGGATAATGTGGTAGAAGTAGGGAGCTGAGAGAGAACATGGATGACCTGCAGAGGTAGGTAGAGGTGATTCACACAGGACCTGGAGGAACATTAACTATTTTGGTCTTAAACTTAAATAAGAGACCAGGAAAATGAATAACTATAAGAAAGTGAAAATCAAAATCAACAAAAATCTATGAACCAGAGACACTCTATGGGGGGTAGGGGGCAGGAGGGGAGGGATTGGGGTCAAAATAAGGGGGTTGCAATTGTATGGGGAATATAAAAATAAAATTTATTATTTAAAAAAAAGCCAAATGGCATTACTGAAGGATTTTAAGTGTGTGTATGTGAGTGTGTGTGTGCACGTGTGTGTCCATGGACACACATGATAAAATTAGGTCTGTAATGTGAATAGCTCAGTCAACCACTAGCATGTATTTTCTCAACCTTGGCACTATCAGCATTTTGAAACAAATATTTTTTTTTGTTGGGAGGGCACTATTTTAAATTTCCAGGGCTATTAATGAACCTGTTGAGTGATTTTGTCTGAAAGTTTTCTACAATTTTACTTCAGTCAGGTTGAGGTTTTGTGAGGAAAAAAAAGAAATGTGTGTTGTAGGGTAGTTTATGGTGTTGGAAGTTGCAAGGGATTTAGGCTGTCATCAAGAGAACTGAGGGTGATTACAATTATACAGAATAAAAAAAAGCACCTGAAGAAAATTCAGAGATTGGTGTGTTTTCAGGAGAGAGTCATGTGTCTGTTACAGAAAGTAGGTAGAAAAAAGTAGACCAGTTGAGGCTTTAGAGGAGGTTGCTGATTGTGAATAGGGAGTTCCAGAAACACTTGTGGAAGCCAGGCTTAAATAATACCTAAATAGATAAAGTCTCTCAGTTGTGTCTACAATCTTTTCTAGCTGTTAAGAAACCTTAAAATCAGGAAAGCAATGGAAAACACAAGAAATTTAAGCATAAAAATGAGATATTTATTCATTTTTACTTATGTACAATTCTTCCTTTAACATAATGTATAATTATAACCTTAGAAAATCAGTATTTATATATATTTAAAATATGAGAATGAAAAGTTCCAGCCTTTAATTATGATTTAACATCTACTTCACAAGAGACCATGGAACTATAGAACCACCTAGTCAGAACATGGTTTTTTAAAAGAGTGGTTTGCCTTGTACTTTGTATTTTCTTTCTCTTGGTTGTATCTATGAGTAGGGAGGTCACTGGGGTGGGAAATGAAAATGTTTCCATTTGTCTCTATTTAAAATGCTGATCTAGGGCCTCCCCTGATGGCGCAGCGGTTGAGCGCTGGGCTGGGAAGCTGCCTGCAGCCTCTGCAGCACTGGTTCGATCCCCGGCCACGTGCGAGGGTCCACACATGGTGTGCAGACCTCTCATGCCGTGCCTGCTGCTCCCCTCAGCAATGTATTTCATCAGTCTGCCTGTTCTGTTCCCCACTCTGGCTCTGGTGAATTCTCTCACCCTCCCATGCTTCTGACTGTACCCAGTGCTTGTATAAATAAATAAATCTTAAAAAATAAATAAATAAAATGCTGATCTAGGGCCTCCCTGGTGGCACAGGGGTTAAGCAGTGCATTATGAAGCAATTCACAGCCTCTCCAGCACGAGTTTGATCCCCGGCCAGCCAGGGAGCAACCCATATGGCGCAGCAGACCTCTCCTGTCTTGCCTGCTGCTCCCCTCAGCAGAATATTTCAGTCAGTCTGCCTGTTCTGTTCCCTGCTCTGTCTCTGGTGAATCCTGTCTCCCCCCTGCATCTCTGGCCTGTACCCCAGCTCTTGTATGCATAAATAAATCTTTTAAAAAATGCTGATCTAGATTAAGCACTTTCCTGCCAGACTCAGTGTATTCTTGCCTTTGGAGAAATAAATATCTTGAAATAGACAAACATAGAAAGTTTTATGTTGACATAAAGAGAGGGCCAGAAAGAAAGGGGAATTATACAACATAAATGACAAGAAAACTCATAATGAATTCTGCTCTATTGAGTGAACAGGACAATTCCAGACACAGCCTGATCAATTCATGAATGAAAAATAAATTTATTCATGCTTTTGAAGTTTTAAAATTCCTTTGTCGCAACCCCTTTCCAGGAAAGCTTTACCTCTTTTCTCTATATTTTAAATATATCTTTTTCCTGATAACCCAACTTGGTGCAAGGTCAACTACAAAGCTCCTTCATTCCATCCTACACTCATCTTCATTCATTCAAATGTGTGTAAACACTGAAAATTTCTCAAGCACTCTTCTAGTCACTATGAATACAAATATTATTAAGATGCAGGTTGGCATCTCCAGAAGCTCAAAGTCTAGTGACAGAAAATCACATCAATTGAGCCTCAAAACTAAAAAAAAAAAAAAAAAGTCATTATAAGGAAATGTAGCCATCC